ATACTCATTAAACCAATAATTTATTATTATTATTATTATTTATCATTTCCTGTGGATGGAGGCATCCTAAAAGATAGGATAGAATCAGGATAGAAATGTTTCATTGCAGGATAAGGCTGATCAGTCAGAATAACTTTGTATTGATTTGCAGTGACTCTTCCTTTCAAGGGGACAATTGGACCCAAACCACTCGCCCACTTGTGGAGATCATGGTGAAGGATGACTCATCTGACCGGATCACTTTTTTCCTCTCTGCAGACCAGTGTCTATGGTTTTTGTACAACTCTAAATTGTGCATTCAACTTTGTAACGGGGGGATTTATGCACTTCAGGCCTACCATATCTCTGTGTAGTCATGGACAGACAGTGCTGACACAGTCTGATCGCGTCCTGATGACATTCTCAGTCATATGAGGAAAAGCTACACTTCTGCTTTTCCTTACATATTACACTAATGAACGAGCATCATGGTCACTGAATATGTGCTTTCAACCACATTTTCAAACTCTATCTACTGACCTACTGATCTAAAGCTCCTGCCATCCGTGCCTCAATAATAAACCCTCATTCAAAGTCAGATCTTTTCATCTTGTCATCCAAAATCGAGGCCGACTGGGCCTGCTCAGCCCTTTTACACATGCCACAGAGCATGGATGATAATTGCTTAATTATATCACTTGGGGTGGCCCAATTTTGAGAATTTTGTATTGGCATTGTAATGTTTTATTATAACTTTGTGCAACAAACTCTTTACTGGCAAGACTTTACCATGTAAGTCCCTGACCGCACTGTGAGACTGTGTTTTTGGTGCCCCATGTGATTTCTCTCTCTCTTTGTGTTTGAGTGTCTCCACTTGGCATGGTGCCCTTATCACAGATCCCTATCCCACACACACCCTGAACATATAAAACTCCTATGAGTTCCCTGCATAGCCCACTTCAACAGCTGAGAGTTGCCCAAATGCGCCAAATACCTCCTTCATAAGCAATAACAAATTAATTAAAAAGATTTATCAAACGAACATTCTTTTTGGTGTAACAGCAGGGTTTGGATGGTAGACACAGCTTATATAAGTCAGGCTTTTGAGACTACTGCAGCTACAGGAACAGCTGTAGGCAGTTATGCCAAAAAAGCAGCTGGTGGGCTTCACTAGTGCTAACGCAATGATCTCACACTGGACCCTATCACACATTACTGAACACTGTGTGTGTGTGCATTTGTGTGTGTGTGAGGAAAAGACTGAGAGTGAGTGAGTTCAGAGAGTGAGAGAGCAGGGGAAGAGTATGTGTGCGTGTGGACTGGGCATCTAATTTTCACATTGATTCTTGGCACGCACCCCCTGTTACTTTCACTACTTGGAATGTCACTAACACCGAGTGAAAAAGAGAGAAAGAAACAGAGAGCTCTAGAAAGACGATATCCTCCACCATCTTATATTCAGTCCCTGATGAATCCTTATTAGCACTCACAGGTGCGTACGAGAGCCCAACTGATATATCGGCCAATACTGACGACCTATATTTATATGCATAAATGTCACAGATAATGCTCCAACAATTACTGACTTTCTTTTGGTTCTGCTGGTGATAAGGCAAAACCCTATACAGCCACTAAGGGAGTCCAATAAAAGACAACCCCTATTTAACTATTTAACAGTAATACAGGCTAAACTGGTAAACCTGAACACAAAACTCCATCATGGTTAAAACAACAAATATATGTAAAGTGCATCCAAATTACAAAAGTGTTATAACTAGGGCTGAAATGATTACTGGACATTATCAATAATGTCAACAGTAAAAAAATCAACAGATATTTCTGTTTTTGATTCTTTGTTTACTTTTTCACAGTGACATCCAACCTAGAGTGAGTTAACAACTTAACCTGAAGAGAGCAGCAATCCACTTACAGCATCCTACCTATGTAAGCAGATAGCGAAAGAAAAAGAACAGTTATGACTGAAAGTAAAGTCTGGGTGCTTTTTCTTAAAATTAAGGATAAAATAATCGCATACTACATATGCAAGTCTGACTTTCCACAGCTTTCCCTGGAAGCATAAAGTTACCTTCAACCAATGTAAAAGAAAATGGTAGCGTTCCTTCCTGTTCTGACAACCCAAAGTATTCCCTGAGGACACGCTGTTGGCACTGTAAAATCTCATCATGTTACACTAATGATAGTGACTGGAATATTCTAAGCCTTATCAAGTTCTGTTAATTAGAAGTACTCAGTAGCAACTTCAAAAAAACACTGAACATTTGGCAGCTTATCCTGTCACAGCTTTACAAATATTAGTTAGTTAATTTTGTACAACTAGTTATTTAGCTTAAAATACAGCTCATTTTGTAAATATAGTTTTCCCAAAAAATGGCTTTTGCTCACCCTGAAAACCTATTTACATATAGCTGATCTAGTAAACTACCACATTAAAATGCTAAAGTGCCTTAGCCTGAGGAGCTATAATGTTAAACTACATATTTATTATCATTATACAACTTTTTTGGCTTTTGCTTATTGCTTACTGTAGCTCAAAATTATGAGCAGGCTTAACCACTTAAAAGGCCAGGGTCTGCCAGTGGGCCCAAAGTTTTATTACACACTTCTACACTCTTAAAAATGATGAATCTTCAAGGGTTCTTTAGTAAAAAATGGTTCCCTAAGTACTAAAAGAACCCTTTGCATGATTAAAGGGTTCTTCACATTTGGAAAAAACCTTTCATGATGCAAAGAACTTTTTAATCATGCAAAGGGTTCTCTGAGTGTTCATGGTTCTAAATAGAACCATTTGCTTTACTAAAGAACCCTTAAAGAACCATCTTGTTTAAGAGTGTATAACCTAAGAATAGCTCAGGTCCCTGGTAGTTGCTGAATAATAAGCCTTAGTATGTAATAAGCCTGAGATTTTAAAGGGGTTAAACAAAGCACCACATATTTTTATCTGTTATCTCTTGGTAAACAGCACCTCAGTTTGTCAGAACATTTTCTTGTTACAGCTCTTCACATTCAAGCCGATTCACTGACTAGTAGTCATTTCATAATAACTATCAAAGTATGTTTCTGCAGCTCTTGTTATAATACAAAACCTCCAAAAATAACTGAGTAAAAATAAGAGAAATAAGAGCTGATTAGCCCCGTCTCCATAGCTACAATTTTATTTTTCAGTGTGTGAATTTTGCTGTTTGAGTTCAAGAAGTGAACTGATAATCGACTGTTAGTAAAGCATTGTTTAAAACTACTGGAGTATAGAATGAAAATCTGAAAAATAAATATAACATATAACAATATAACAATATTTTTAGCTCTTAAAATCGTTATCAATATCAGCCAGTACATTTTATATCGGCCAGGCTCTAGCGTCTAACAGGGTATAGGAACCAGTTACATTAACTCAGTTACAAGTACTTTGGAGAGTTTTATTCTTCTCTAAGCATTTTCAAACACTAATAACTTTACTTCTATTCAAGTATATTGTGAGGGAAACATTTCACTCATTTACTCATTTCTACTTTAGCATTTCACACTGAGTCAGTTTCCCAGAAAAGAATTGAGCTTAGTCTTGAACTGCACAGCATTCTGAATGGAGATTCTTCTTTGAAAGGAAACTTAGTCCAGAACTAGGCTTATTCCCTGACCAAGAAGCCAACCCACTGAGTTATAAATTCTCCTTTTGGATTTAATTTCTTCTTGTTGTGTTGGTTCTGTTTACAGACTGCTTTACTCTTTCTCACACCTCTTTGATACTTTAGCATTTTATTTTAGACCAAAAGATCCAAAAATACACGTACTTAAAAAAGATGTTTTTTAAGGGGATCTTCAGTAAAGGCAATGGTTGTTTTTAGAATCATGAGTTCTATATAGAAATCTATATTAAATGGATCTTTGCATGGTGAAATGGTTCTTCAGATTGATGGAGAATGTGTTGTTTTTTTTAATCTTTTTGAAAATGACTCCATACAGCAGCAAAAATGGTTCTGCTGTTGTTACAATGTCAAGCTTGAAACAATAGAAGAACCCTTTTTTGGTGACATATAGAACCTATATAGAACCTATATTTGGTGCAATATAGAACCATTTCATGATGCAAAGAACCATTTAAGCATGAACGTGGTTCCATACAGAACTCTATAACTCTAGTTCTAAATAGAACCATTGCTTTTAAGCACAAAGGTCCCACCATGGAAGGAAAATATGCTGTGATTTGCTATTCATGATCTGCACATTTGACCACCCTAAGTGACAAACATACTACTGATCTAATTCATGAAACTGTCCTCCAGTGCCAAAGCAAGTGCTGATTTGAGCGCAATTGATGAATCAGCTTTAGTGCCTGGAAAGAAGCGTCCACACAGTGTTGCCCTATTTACATATCATTTGCAGAGGACATACATCAATATGCCCTCACCTACATATAACTTACATGATAAATAACCTATATCGTGCAGTTGTTGCTACAGTGAGCCAATAAAACAAGCATTCAACAGGCTCATGAGTCCACCCTCATAGGTGGAGTTTGGTGTTAGGCTGGAGTTTTCTGCTCCTGCTGCCCAAAGCTTAAACAGCTTTACATTGAAAAGAATCAAATGTGAAATCGATAAAGTACTTTAGCTTTATTAAAGATGGTAGAATGATGTGACTTTTTAGTGTGATTATTTTTCTAAAATACTGGTTGCTTGAGCTATTGTATTGCAGTATATGAGGTATATGAGGCTTATACTGCACTATGTTCACTATGTTTTGTATTTTTGGGTGGCAATTACCTACAGAATGAACAGTATACAGACAAAACGCAATGCAGTATATCTTTAAATGGAGCATATAGCTGCAGCATATCAGTGTGCACATAAAAACTAAGTATATCTACTTTAGTGCAAAGAGGCCATGTTTTTTTTCTCCTGTCTGAGTAATGCTACTTTCAATTTTAACAAAAAAATCTTACGGAGTGCTGCCTTAAGTACCACAGTGAACATCAACTGCAAGTGAAAACACTTAAATGGACTCACAATAACCACAGCGTGTCCCTCCCTCGAAGACAAATCCATTGGGAACTGCCCCGTATCGCCTTAGGTCAGACAGCCTCCACTGGCCAATAACTGATGGAGGGATGTCTCTGGCTACAGCCAGCAGGTTATTGCACAAGTGGAGTATGGCTGGACCGCTCTCTAGCTTGGTGCCAGGCTGGACATTCACACTGAATCTGTGGACTGAAAGAGAAGCAGTTGTAATTGAATGATGACAGTGTGGTGCTGTAAAAATGAAGGGATTATGACGGTTCTTATCTTCACTTTTTCATTACGCTCATAAAAAACCACCACAAAGGGTTGCTGAAGCAATGCTTTTGAAGAATTACTTTTTTATCCCTAAAGAAAATTTATCCCTGTGAAAGTGTGAAGAATCATTTAAAGAGCCCAAATCCTATCCTACCCTAAATAAAATCCTATGCTATTTTTCATTCTGAGGCACACATATAACATTTGTATGTTTATAAGATAAGATAAATGAGCTATGTTCTGAATGGCTGCCTTGTACTGTGCCTTGTTCAAAATCTTGTTGTGCTGGTATGAGTGGATCAGACACAGCGCTGCTGGAGTTTTTAAACACTGTGTCCACTCACTGTCCACTCTATTAGACACTCCTACCTTGTCAGTCCACTTTGTAGATGTAAAGTCAGAGACGATAGCTCATCTGCTGCTGCAAAGTTTGTGTTGGTCATCCTCTAGTCCTTCATCAGTGGTCACAGGACACTGCCCACAGGACGCTGTTGGCTGGATATTTTTGGTAGGTGGACTATTCTCAGTCCAGCAGTGACACTGAGGTGTTTAAAATCTCCAGCAGCACTGCTGTGTCTGATCCACTCAGACCAGCGCAACACACACTAACACACTACCACCACATCAGCGTTACTGCAGTGCTGAGAATGATCCACCACCCAAATAGTACCTGCTCTGTGAGGGTCCATGGGGGTCCTGACCACTGAAGAACAGGGTAAAAGGGGGCTAACAAAGTATGCAGACAAACAGATGGACTACAGTCTGTAATTGTAGAACTACAAAGTGCACATATATAGTAAGTGGAGCCGATAAAATGGACAATGAGCGTATAAACAAGGTCATAATATTATGCCTGATCAGTGTACATTATATGTCCAAAGGTAAATAGTGAATTCAGCTATTTTAAGGTGCATGTACTGCTGACACAGGTATTCAGTTGCATAATGTCCATAGAAAAGCACTGTCAATAGAATGAGATGCTCCGCACTTTAACCTAACACCACCATGCCCAATGGCAAGTGCTGGTTAGAGGGGTATAAAGCACCCCAGCATTGGGCTTTAGAGCACCAGAACTGTGTTCTCTGGAGTGATGGAGCTCCATCTGATACCTTTGGGAAGAGCTGGACTGGCGTTTGTGATCCAGAACTAATCATCTAACAACAGTACCTGACCTCACTAATGCTCTTGTGGCTGAACGCAATCAAATCCTCACAGCAATGTTCCAACATCTAGCGTAGCCTTCCCGAAGAGCTGTTACAGCAGCAAAAACGAAATTACATCCCATATTAATACCTTTGATTTCAAAATAAATCTAGTGTAATAAAATGATGCTTACACACATCATTACTGAGCCCAAATAATGACTTTAGAAAAGTGTGATCTGTTAGCAGGCTAATGTTTAGCATGTTTGAATAGACTGTTCTGTGAGGTTCATTTAAATTTAGTAAAACAAACAGATGAACAAAGTAATGTGTATTAGCTCAATTGTAGCCAGAGGTATAAAAGCCTAATGAGTTCTTATAAGAACAGTGGAATAAATCATTTATGGAAATGATCAGCAAACAGGAGAACGCTGCCCTGGAAGGATTCGAGACAGCAACACCCCTTTATCTCATTCAGGACGAGTAATCGATTACGAGCCAAATAGAATCAATAAGTGATGTCTTTCAAAGCAACATTATCAGCAGCCACACATCAATGATGAACCTCATTTCAAGATGAGGATTCCCACGTCTGCTGTACCACACAAACACACTCACGCTCGTCCGTGCGCAGACAGATGAACAAAAGGACTCTACGGTGACATACTCATCAATCAAGCTCAATCTGAGGCAACTTAGCGAACCGTCCCGTAGAGAGGGAGAGCGGTGGAGGGACAGGTGAGTGATGAGAGCGATTGAACAGGAGGGGAAATATTCGCTGTGCTTCACCGAACTCCATTTATTATCACCCTGATTGCCAGCGCAGCCTCCACGGAAAACACAAACACACATGCAGACAAACAAACAAATGAGGGACGGACTTGGAAATCAAAAAGGCAATGGAGCAGGAAAGAGATGCTTGATGTTTATGGCCAGAATGAGGTGGGGCTGGGACCAAACTGTTATACTGCAAAGGCTGAAGTTTCATTCCATCTCAGTTCAGTCAGTGTCGACCTATGACACGAGTTCATCACTCAAAAAATATGCAGTGAAGTGCATTTCAGTCAGCAAACTGCATTTTCCTTCCCTGTCAATACTCAATGGGGCCAGTTTTAAAGGGTATATATAACTGAAAACTGAATATATCACAGGAATATACGACTGTATGTAAAAGCTGGTCAAATGACATGGCTTTGTTGATTTCCGAAGTGAAAACTTGTACACATTATCTACATGGAACACACTTCGGCATGTTTTAATGCACAATTACTGGTTATTTGCTGAATTTAACATATTGAGAAAAATATCTAACATAAAATGTGTCATTTTTTAAGCAAATAAATAGAAATTGTGAAATAACATTTGCACAAAAATGCCATATTTAAGTTTAGTCCCTGAAGAGAATGTCAACAAAATATGTAATCTTACTTGGGGTGTTCAAACTTTTGCAAATAACTGTCTCCACATCTGATGATCCTATGTGGAAGACAGCCCTCCATGCTAGATTAAATTAATCTCTATCTGCTGCACCTACAGTCAATTACACAATAATTTCAACGTATTTAACAAAGCAGAAAAAAATTGTTCCACACGTTTAATTACAGATTTTCCTTTGGTCATACACAAAGACACAGTGAACATCACAAGTGGGTATATGTCACCTGCTTATGTAAGAATACTGAAGCTGACGCAGAAGCAACAGTTACTTTCCACACGGTTAGCCCAACAAGAGGACTCTGTCAGCGGCACAGGCCGAAACATAATCATGCAGTTCAGGAAATTGGTTTTAATTTAAATAAAGATACAATGCTCATGTAAACATGAACTGCATCTTGTTTTGGTAAATAAAACCAAAAATAATTGTTAGAAATTACAGTTCTGAAAGGCAAGAAAACTGTCTGAAGAAATATGGACCTTTAAATTTGAACCGAATGTTCCAAACCTGATAAAAACAGCCCAACCCTACAGGTTGTCACTGTGAATAAGAATAAGACCTAGGATGCCATGCTGGTCAAACAGTGGCTAAAAAAGCCATTCTGTACTTTACCTCCACTTTCACCACATGTGACAGGAATTTGATGGGAGCACGTTCTGGAAAAATTTTAGGGCTCTTACAGGATTTCTGACACCTCAGGAGGCCATATTTAACTCCGCCGTTTCATGGAAGGATGTGATTGCATCACACGCTACCGTGCCTGGCATGCAGGAGCGTGACTTGAGACTGCCACAGAAGACGTGTGCTATGTGCTGTGTATGTGAGGGTGTAGGTGTGTGTTTTCGTGGGCAGCCTTAACAGGCATGTGCATGGGGAGAGGGGGTCAGCAGCCCAGCGGCAGGGTTTCAGTCCATTCTGAATTGACCTGTGAACCATAAGTCCAGTACTGTGCAGGGAATTTTACTGACACCCATTTTTTGGAAACTGAATTGAAAATGCACTGAAATTAACTGAAAAAAGAATGTCTCAAATCTTGTATGAGACTGCTATAGTTATGCACAGTCATGAGCAAAAGTTTGGGCACCCTGGGTTAAGAGACATTGTGTTGATTTTCTAAGAGAAAAGGGTAACACATCCTCTACAGAGAACACACTTCTGCACATTTTAATGCACAATTGCTGTTTTTCTTTGATAAATTTAACACATTAGGAAAAAGGCCCACGAGTAAGATGAGTCTTTAGCAACGGCTGAAACACGGAGTTATACATTCCCTGTTTGAGTGGAGCGACCGACGATCTGTTCTCCTGTGACCGAGTGTGAGTGACGAGGTCAGTGGTGTAACTATACTGTCCTACAGCGAACTCACTTCTATCATAACATAACACAATCCTCACAACTACAGCACAACTACAGCACAACTACAGCACTGACACAAAAGCACCGCTTTCAGTTTAAACGTACCTAAAAGGACGACTCCGTTTGTCTGGTGTTGATATTTTGCGGTTCATCACTTAAACTTCTACGATAGTATAGAGAAATCCAGTCGTCGCTAGCTGGTGTCTGAATACTGTGATGTCATTTGTAGCGGGGTAGCTGAGCGCTCGGCACCAGCTAAAAATAATCTGTTTTCTTTCTTAAATTATGACGATACAAAATAGCCATGCTTTTCCAGCTGGTAAAAACAGCTCAGCAGACACTTTCTCCCACTCTCCCATGACAGATTTGTGAAATGTTCCACTGTTTGGCGAGTGTTTGTTGTGTTCCAACCATAAAGGATAGTTTAAAATAGCAATTAACCCCCCAGGACCAAAAATCAGCCTTCAAACTTGAAAGAAATAATGATTTGACATTTAACGCAGTATGTATCGATAGCGAACGATATGAATTTTGTTTATCGTGATAACATTTTTGGCCATATCGCCCAGCTCTACCCATATATTTATTTTTTTTTTCCAATACATTAAACTCAGTAAGTAGAAATGATGCCCTAAAATTAGCAAAAATGTCATACTTCAGTTTGTTCCCTGTAGAGGATGTATTAACTTTTTCTCACTTAGAAAATCAACAAAACATGTAATTTGACTGGGGTTCAAACCTTTGCATATGACTGTATCCACATCTGTTGTTCACTATGTAGAAGAATAACTCTCCATGCTGTATTAAATTATCTCTATACATAAATCCCTATATGCCGCATCTACGGTCGAGTAACAAAGGCAATAATTTCATTACATTTAAAGAAGAATTCAATCAATTTTCCAAAATTTCTACATAATCCAATCATTGAGATGTAAACAAAGTCATTCAGAGTGGTTTGATGTGAAGTGGTTCATTGTTGTGTATATAAAATAGGACCACTGCATCAGTCAGTAAATCACGTTACAATTTGATATTTTCTGCACTTTGCTATTCAAAAAATATATGTACATAAATTTGCTCATATAAAAAATATCTGTGCAATATATGTGCAGCATATGCAATGTAAAAAAATCGTGTTAAATATATTTACCTGTACTATTTTAAACATTTAAATGTCCATATATTGAATTCTAAGCACATATGTACATGAAATGTAAATATTTGAGTCACTTTTTATTATACTGAATGTCAAACATATCAGGATATTTATTACAAACAAAAAAATATATTTCCTTTGCATATGGGTGGCACGTTTTTTAACTGAAAAGCCATCTTTACAGTTATACTGACCCCAATAGAAGCAGCATAACGTACAGAGTGAAAGCCAAAGCCAAGCATTTTCACAGATTTAATTTTTTCATAACATATGCAAGCTCCCATTGCATTTCCAAATATCCATGCCCTCATCCATCACCACACACACACACACACACACACACACACACGGCTCTCACCCTCTCCCAGGCTGTAGCGGATGCGGGAGTCCCAGGCCAGGAGGTTTTCCCTGCTGTCAAAGCCTAGTGTAACGGACTGGGACAAGCAGAGGACGGTGAGAGTGTAGCTCATTCCTTCATAGCCCTGCAGAGCCTCCAGCCCACAGATATCCCCCAGAGTGGCCTGACTCCTCTCCCGCTGACCCTTACTCCTCTCAGAACGGTCCTTATACACCAGCAGAGACAGACAGTCTGACAGAGACATAGACATGTTTAGACTTTACAAACTTGAAAACAGGCACTAATTGAACCAGTTAAAACATTAAAAAGATGTATATATGTAAGAAGGAACAGGAGAAACTGGTAAAAATAAATTAAAAACATAAGATGATGTCGTAATGGGCTGCCATCCAATCAGCTGCTTGTTATTATGCAGGTTGTGCAGTTACTAGACACTGGATGTCCAGAAGTATTGATGATACTTATGATAAAAAGTTATGTGCATTGTGACATAACTTATTCTGATAGCAATGGCATCATACTGTCCACCAATATGTGTATGTGTTCTTACTGTGTATGATAGTAAAGTAAAAAATTGCATTTTTCTGTTATTTTGCGTTAAGCTCTTAATGATTTCACTGAACTAATGTAAATGTTTATGCCCTGTCTTGGTGACCACATCAGACTATGTGAGGCGAGATTAACATTTTGCCCCACTGTCATCACAATGTAAAAATGACGGTAATTAGACAGCAACTTGGCCGTGACTGACCACCACAACATGCTGGGTATGCTAGCAGGCAGTCAAAGTAAAGACAGGTCAGGTCTGCTGCAGGGACTTTCTCCCAGCACTGTGGAGCCGGAGTCACTCACTGTAAGGCTGAGGGTTTATTTCTGTGTGTCTGCTGTACTGTGTGTGGGCTCCACCATAGCATTACAGCACCTGGCCACCGGGACCAGTATGTGTGGATGGACTAGCAGCTGTCATAACAAGCAGTGCAGATAGAGAGTGATCCCTATGAACAGCTGGAGAAAGAGTGAGTCAGACAGAGAGAGAGAGAGAGAGAGAGAGAGAGAGAGAGAGAGAGAGAGAGAGAGAGAGAGAGAGAGAGAGAGAGAGAGAAGAGAGAGAGAGAGAGAGAGAGAGAGAGAGAGAGAGAGAGAGAGAGAGAGAGAGAAAGAGAGAGAGAGAGAGAGTGGCCAGCTGAACTTTGAGTGCTGCCAATATGAATTCCACATATGGCAGTAAATCATGTTTCATTAATCATAATTAAAACCTCAGTCTGGGGAAAAGTTGTTTTAAGAGAATCCACACTAATGTGTTCAATTTAACTGTGATTATATGATTCAAAATAGTAAGGAATGCAGGATCTAAAAAACAACAGGAAATTTCTGTCCTTTTTAAAATTATATTTCATCCAGTGTTTGTTTTTTTAACAGAACTGACCAGAAAGTCATAGGAAAGTCAGTTTTACAACAAAAGAAAGAAAGAAAACTAACCACTAAATTTCTAGAAAATCCATATTTTTCATGATTTATGGGTTGTTTAAATAATAAAGGAGGACTTTAGTATGAAACGACTAGCACTTTTAACTTAAAGTAAATAATAATATTAAGTTAAAAGTAATAATTAATTATTATTATTATTATTATTATTATTATTATTTACTTTGTTTACATCGTTTATCCAACTGTCTGCTGACTGACTCACGTGCAACCAGAACGGCATTATGACATCACGAGAATTCCAGAATCTCCTACATTGTGACGACAACAGCGAGCGGTCTAACGTCAGAATTAACGTGATTCAGGAGAGTTTAAATGAGTCTGTTTCGCTTGGGTGTGCTATGAATACGGAGTTATTATAGAGTGTAAATGTCTGTTAGCTTACCTGCTACCGGCGACGGTTTCCGCAGAATCACCCATCTGCTCTTCCACTGTAGAAGCAGAAAGCAACAGAATGTACTGAGCGCTCAGCCACACCAGCGACATGTGAACACTTCGCGAAGAAACAAGACGTTAACGCCACAAAAAATGAGCATGGTTAAGTAAGTTATAGAAACCTTTTTCCCTTCTCGAAGTCTCACTTGGCCCTCTACGACAACCGTATCCGTCATCTTCTGTCATGGTTCCCGGCAGCTGTGTGAGCGTGTTCGAGTGTGCGTGAGTGAGGGTCTTACTGCAGGGTCACTTTCAAAATAGCTTTAATAGTCTGCTCGTGTGTGCTAACCCGCTAACCTCTGTGTCTGCCCCTCACTGCCACCCACACACAGCACGGCGACGGCACCAGACGTTTTCACAGTTGTTCACTTGGGTCAAAGTGCCTGTTTAAAAAGTGTAAATTGAATTTAAAAAGCCTTCAGCCTCTAAAGTCCACACGCCATTAAAGGAAACATTCCTAAAAGTCCTAGACAATGGAGTCCAGTGTCAGCATTATAAACACTAAATGAACTGAGGCAGTGTAAACCAACTGGATTCAGGTATTATAGCACTGCTGGTCATAACCTATACGGAAATCTCATATGTGGCCACATGTGGACAGATATCATAAAGGGTGAGGCATATATTTTCAAATGTATGAACGTATAGGTTTTGGACATAAATATAAGTATCAAATCATGGACATATATGCATTTTATGTGGATTATATAGGTGGATGAATAAATACATGGCGACATATATACCTCTTATACAAGGTTGAATACATCCCAGTACAGTTATAATTGTTACGATGTATGTGTTTGCTTTTGAATATTAAATTATTTAAATCTTTCAGAGAGCAATATTTCCATTTGTTTCATGGTTGAATGATTTTATTGCGTATCTTACAAATGTGCATGTTTTCTGTCATATATTATTGTATATGTGTGTTGTACATATATGTTAATACATTTTCATATATGGCTGAAATATATGTGCCACATTTTAAAATGTGTGTGTATATAATGTACATATGTGCAAATGTAAGGTGGATATATAACTGAAATCTACATGCTACTATATGTCATATATTTGAAATCTATATATTGCCCTGTATCAGATTTCCATATGGGATGAGACAGTATGTTTGGTAATATGGCATAAAACCGAATGATAAAGCCATTCTTGTACTGAACCTCCCAGTAAAAGGAGTTCTGTATTTTTTATAGTGAAATAGTGGTAAATCTGGAAAAATAAATTATTATTTTCTTTTCTTGTTTCCTCATTAAGCTTGTCATGTATTTTAAGTGGTAGACTTGCTTTACTTAACCCTAAGGACCTCTACTCAGCTTTTTCCAGGGAATAAAAGACAATCATAATGACAAACTCTGCACTGCTTAATTAAACAATTAAAATTGAAATATTGCACAAATTATGTTTTTTCTAATTTCATTAATATGTCTTAAAAAGAATTTGGACAACCATCTTTAAACAACAAATAGTGCTAATAATAAAAGACATTAGCAGCTGAACATTTAAACGTTTCTCATACCTAATGAAAACATGAACAAGAAAATGTGTGCAGCTAATTTGTCTTTTGCAGCTGGGCACTGGTGCTGCTCAGAATGGCCTGTTCAGTATAGCTGAAGTTACCAAGAAATTGGTTGCTGACCACATTTTTGTGACAACTTACTCTACACAGAGACCTCCTTGTTCTGGGTGACCTGTGATTTTGACTGGACTCGGAGAAGTTCTATTCCGCTATGCAGCAGAATTGTGGAGTGGAGTTTCATGGAACAATTCGCCCCTGAGGCTAAGCAGTACGGTGCCTCTCACTGGGGAAATTAGTTTCTTCCCTGATGTCTCTTTTTAGTCCTGCAGGCGCCAGTGACCACTGCAAAGGGCAACTTTGAATTTTACTCTCATAGAACCCTTTAAAAGTTACATTTATTTGATACCTTTGCCCAAAGTAACTTTAATAACTAACTGCAGGAAGTGTTTCCCTGGAAGAAAGTGGAGTTAGGCTCTTTGCTCAAGAACACAATACGTGCTCAATTAAATCCACGTCTTGAGTTGTTTTTTGTGAGCTATTAAGATGTTAAAATTTTGTTTTGGGCCAGTTAAGGCTCACTTAGAGTTAAGTGACTTTTCCTTAAGCATTTTCATATTTTCTATTTTATTTTTTTCCCACATTAAGCTTGTCACATACGAATAACTACTTTAGGGCTATGCTTACATCACCAGGCTCAAGCAGGGGCATACGTCCAGGTAGGCCTGCATAGGGCTGAGCTGATCACATGCCTACCCAATCAAATGGGGAACGAATAATAGAAAATGCAGATTGATTTGTGTCTTGTGTTTATTTGTGTTGATTAGAGCCTTCTTATTTTCGCAGCTCTCCAGTCACAGCGTTGCAACTCTTGCTATCTCCGTTGCAAGTCTGTCAATTTGTTATCATTGTGACAGTGTTTGAATTTGAAGCACCAGTTGCGGTTAAAAGATGTAACAAGGGACGTTTAAAAGTGAGATTCTGTCCTGATCTTTACCCATCCAAAGCTGAAAAAAAGTTGTTGTCATCAGTTTTACTACAGAGGCTGAAATGGACTTTGTGAAACCATCAAAGCAAATATCTAACATTACTTCAGTGAATCAAAGGTAAGACATGAATGGACCATAAACCTTTTTATACCCACCGTGGCGTTGTTTTTGGCTTAGATTATGAGGTTTAGGATTTAAGTTTGTTGTGTCGTTTTTCCCTGCCTTTGCACACCTCAGCTGTCTGATTTTGTCTCAGTCATGTCGTCGTCTTCACCTGCGGTGACAAGCTTTGTTTCGTTTTTTCCTCATCTTTGTACATCTCAGCTGTTTAATTTGAATTTAATTATGTGATCTTCATTTAACAAATATGCCTGTGGCAAGTGGATGCATGCTTTATAGTCTTTATAATAAAGGGTGTTGCAGTGTTTGTTGTGTTTGCGTGAATCCATTATTGTGTTTGATTGCCAGAACATGGTGCCGTTGTGGGACGGAGTGCATTTGGAAGTTGTACCTATCAAACTAGTCTACCCACTTTTTCACAGACCTACCCAAAAATCAGATTTTTTGCCTTAACACAACACAGATCTGAGCCATTTTCATGTAGCTACGTTTAAACTACAAGCCTCATTGCTCAGTTCAGATTTTTTTCTCAGATCTGATCTTTGTAACTTGATGGTTTGCATTTGTATAGGTAAGTGACTGAAATGTGAATGAATCTGGGACCTGTATTCACACATCCTAATCAACAATCACATGAATTAAACATGTGCAACATGAACCAGCAGAACAAGCCTTCATCACAAAGATAATTTGCTCATTATTAGAGCGAGATGAAGATGAAAAAGGGTCAGATCCATTGCTTTGCACTATTTACTGGCACTAACTAAGGTTTGGTACTTCTGCCACATTAACACTAAACGATGGCACATGCATCTGAGCATTCTCATTAAGGTTGCAATGAAACACAAATGAAAGTGGCTCAGATCTGATTTAAAAAGATCAGATTTGTATGTTCACTTAGCTCTGAAAACATCGCATTCACATGACATTATTGATTAGGATATGTGCATGCAGGTCGTTTCAGGATATAGGTTCATTCACATTAATAATAGATTTGAGTCACTTATCTACACCAACGTGAACCATCAAGTTAGAAAGGTCAGATCTGAGCAAAAATGGGAACTGAGAAATTAGGCCATATTGGCAGTGTGGCATTGCCTATGGAATGGGACGCACTGGAGCAGGTGCACATGAGCCTAAGGTTATCATGCTCAGTCTGTAGCATCTGCTAGGGTAGTATAAAGCCCCCCAGCATTGAGATGTGGAGCAGTAGAACTGTGTTCTCTGGAGTGATGGAGCTCCATGCAGTACCTTTGGGATGAATTGGTGTTTGTGATCCAGAACTAATCATCCAACATCAGTACCTGACCTCACTAGTGCTCTTATGGCTGAATGCAATCAAATCCTCACAACACTGTTCCAGCATCTAGTGTAAATTCTTTCCAGAAGAGTAGAGACTGTTGCTGCAAGAAAGGGAGGGCAAACTCCCTCTTAATAACCTTGAAATGGTGTCTACAAACTTTTGGACATGTTTTGTATATTATTATATGTAACATAGCAAATATTTAGAACTGCACAAATAACTAGTTAATATATAGTGAACTTTGGCAGCAGTGAGTCTTTGAGAGACCTCTGGCTTTTCTGCATAGCAGTCTGTTCACAAGTAACTTTCAATGCTGTTAATGATCTGTAAAATCACATGTTTTTTTGTTATACATGCTGTAGGTGAGTAATTTCCCCAATCTTTCTGTTGGGTGTTCTGTGGTTATCTTGGCAAATCACATCTTTGATCAGCTGTATTTGCTGTTCAGGTTACTGTCTCTGCTGAAGTCTGCTGATCACATGGAGCTGATAAACACAATCGCATCAGAGACTTCCAAATATTTTTTTTCACCATAATCCTACTGACTTACAATCATTTTAAGGTCAATCAAAATAATTTGCATTCATGAGCTCTGACTTCGTTTTATAAATGCAGAAATGCTTTGTGCCATGTACCTGTCTCAGAGTCAAAACCTGAAAACCACATACAAAACCTTACCTAGAGGTACTAAAAACCCCTACCAGGACTTCTCAAACTCTGTCAGTCAATGAGCATTTAAGAGGAATCTGCTTTGTCTCAATTACATGAGTGGTGAGACAAAATAACTGCAGTTAGTGGGCAGTACTAATTGCAGTTAGTTGACAGTAAAGACTATTTTATTGAGAAATAAGATTCAAATGGGAAGTCCACAGATGGCTACAAAATGTAATTGTTAAGATGTACACAAAGTCCTTTATTGGTTGTGAGACAAAATAGTCCCCAAAGAAACCTTTTTTTTAAATGGGTTTACCACCATTTTACTATTATCAACATTACACATAACAACTTGTGAAGACACATGTAGGTTCACTGGTGGTTTTGGATCATACATAAAATGGCTATATTTGGGTCGTAGACATCACCACCACTGTAAAGGAATGTGAGTGAGTTTCTCTATGATGCACCATTTCATGTCAGACCACTCTAAATGATTTTGTTTACATCTCAACCACTGAGTTATGATTTGAATTTTGAAAAATCACTAGAATTCCCCAAATTCCTTAAATGTGAGGCACCAGTTCCCTGTCTTGAAATTTTTAAACAAAATTCCTGAATTAAAAATGCTTCATATTGCTTTGCATGTTTCCAGTAGGAGACAGACAGACCAGTCTAGTACCCACACTGTCTGATTATGCAGCCATGCTTTTGTAACACAT